TCATCAAAACTTGGAGTTTAAAGTATTTACCTTAAAAAATAAACTTTAATACATTTCGTTCTTCAAACCTTTAAATAGTGTTTTGTGATCAGATTCTAGCCACATCTCCTCTCATACTGACTAGTGGCTCCCCTTCAGTGAAACTTTGGAAGGTGAAAGTGAAAGTGCCATTGCAGGGCATTTCTAGAAGCTTCCCTTCTAGAAATTAGGTAAATGCCCCTGAGTTGGTCACACCCACTCGCAGGTCTGTTATGCATCGAAGGAAGAAAAGCGATCATGTGACTTGCACCAGAACAGAGTTTTAAAAAAAAAAAAAAAAAAGATTTACAAAGTTTAAAGTGCTATTTTTTTTTACAACTTTAGAAGACACTCCTCCTGGGCGCCTTCCCTATAATCGTACCCCATTCTGTAAATCCTCAGTTTTGTGGCAAGCAATTCCCTATGTTCTGTACTGTAGTCAAAGATATGGAATTATAGATAAGTCAAAATTTCTCTTAATTCTCTTAAAAAGGACACAGGTAAAATATTCACATACCATGAAACATCCCCAAGCAATGAATAGAAAGGATGGACAATAATAAGGCAAACTGTGGCAACAGACCCAGCGACAAGAAGGGTCAAAAGACCCAACCTCAGAGAACTGCCAAGAGAACTTTGTAGCCAGAAGCTTCATCAGCAGAAGATTGGACTTGTACAACTTGAAAAAGTATTACCTTCTGGCAGCCTTACATAACTGGGCTACCAAGGCCTGGTGCTGAAATGCACATGAAACACCCACCGATCTGGTGAAATGAGCTCATAAAAGTGCAGGAGGAGATCTCTCTTTAGGAATGCAAGCTCTTGCAATCAGATATTGTATTCATTATGCAATGGTGAACTTTGAAGTAGGGTATCCAGAGAACAGTATGGTCCAGAGAACAAGATAAAGATGGAATCAGTCTGTCTGATTGGAGCATTAAGCTGTACTGGAATGGCTCTGACTAAATACAGGCAATGTAGAGAGAGTTCCTTATGATGCTTAGGAGAAGGGCATAAGGATGGGAGTACAATTTCTTCATTGAGGTGGAATGCCGAGAACACTTTCAGAAGAAAGGATGGCCTTGAGTGTAAGACAGCCTTGTAGTTGTGAAGAATGAGGAGATGCTGCTTACAGGAAAGGCCCACCAGTTCAGAAATACATCTGACAGATGTGATGGTGACTAAAAATCTTCTAGAGGGATATCCCTGATAGGTTCAAAGGGTGGTTTATGCAGCATAGAGAGAACCAAGCTGAGATCCCAAGGAAGCACAGGGTGCTGCAAGGGAGGTTTAATATGAGATACACCTTGAAGAAAGGTTTTTGCAAGGGAATGCAAAGCCAGAGGCCTTTGAAAAAGGAATGGATAAGGCCAAGACCTGACCTTTAGTAGAATTCTAGCCTAAACGTAACTAGTCTTAAAAATGCTCCCTCCCACTTCCTAACGGCTATATTGACTAACCTGTCTAAGAAAGATGTATATACTTACCTATTTTAGGTCTGTTCTGGTTCAGTCATGTGATCCAAACTTTTACCTGCAGGAAACACAGGTACAGCATTGGGTTGCTGTGCCCACGCAAATGTGGAAACAGAGCTGCTTAGATGTGAACCTAGCCTGAAATCTTCATCCTATCACCGAATTGACTTGTTTGTTGTTTTAAAAAGCCAGTAGAAAGGAAAAGTACAGTTGGAAAATAACAATTTTGGTTTTAGTCAGTGATTTTTGGCATAGAAATCCTTAATGGTTTGCATAATCGAGGACATGTCAGGGCTGTGTTGATTGCCTTTAAAGTGTTACTAAACCCAAACCCACAACAGTAAAATCAGTCTGTGTATGCAGTAAAACATGTTTGTTATACTCACTGTGGAACCTAAGGGGTTAATCTTCTGCATGGTGTAAAAAGGCTATTTGATCCTGTCTTCTCTGATCCTCCCCTTCTTCCAGTGCCCCCCTCTTATCTCCTGTTAAGACATATCGTGTGGAGTCACTATGCACATGCTAAGTTTGGTGTGTATTGCTAGAGAGGTTTTTCTAGTACGTTTACTAAAGAAGATGAGTGCCTAAATCACAGCACTAGCAGTCAAGAAAAAAAAGCGATTTAACTCCCAATAAATTAAAGCATACTGTCCATGCCATGGGGTATATTTTTTTTTTATTTCTACTCAGTTTTTGAGATTATTTTAGGCTTTCCTGGTTCACTTAATAAAGAAGAAGGCCGTAATATTTCCAGCATTAGCAGTCCAGAAAGGGGTGATTGAACCCTAAAAAAAATTGAAATTGAAATTCATTTAGGCTTTTCTGGAATACTTACTAAAGAAGATGGCTGCACACATCCTACCATTACCAGTCCAGAAGCATGATTGAGCTCCCCCAAAGAATTATAGCATTTCAACTGTGCCACAGGGTACATATTTTTTATTTATTCGGTCAGTTTTTGGGATTAGTTTGTACTTTTCTGGTTCACTTACTAAAGAAGATGGATGTCCACATGCCCAAAATCGCAGCATTCATGTTTTTTATGGCATTTTTTAAATCATTTTCTTAGGCGAATATCTGTCATTCGATTGCAGCATTAAAGGATAAGTGCACTTTCAGAGAAAATCCTTTTTGTCCATTTATGGTGACCCCTCCAGAGATGCCTACAATACTTACAGTGGGGCAAAAAAGTATTTAGTCAGCCACCAATTGTGCAAGTTCTCCCACTTAAAAAGATGAGAGAGGCCTGTAATTGGCATCATAGGTAGACCTCAACTATGAGAGACAAAATGAGAAAAAAACCAGACAATCACATTGGCTGATTTGGAAAGAATTTATTTGCAAATTATGGTGGAAAATAAGTATTTGGTCACCTACAAACAAGCAAGATTTCTGGCTCTCACAGACCTGTACCTTCTTCTTTAAGAGACTCCTCTGTCCTGCACTCATTACATGTATCAATGGCACCTGTTTGAACTTATCAGTATAAAAGACACCTGTCCACAACCTCAAACAGTCACACTCCAAACTCCACTATGGTGAAGACCAAAGAGCTGTCGAAGGACACCAGAAACAAAATTGTAGACCTGCACCAGGCTGGGAAGACTGAATCTGCAATAGGCAAGCAGCTTTGTGTGAACAAATCAACTGTGGGAGCAATTAGAAAATGGAAGACATACAAGACCACTGATAATCTCCCTCGATCTGGGGCTCCACGCAAGATCTCACCCCGTGGGGTCAAAATGATCACAAGAATGGTGAGCAAAAACCAACGTAACGTAACGACCAACGTAACAAAGGCTACCATCAGTAACACACTACGCCACCAGGGACTCAGATCCTGCAGTGCCAGACGTGTCCCCCTGCTTAAGCCAGTACATGTCCGGGCCCATCTGAAGTTTGCTAGAGAGTATTTGGATGATCCAGAAGAGGATTGGGAGAATGTCATATGGTCAGATGAAACCAAAATAGAACTGTTTGGTAGAAACACAACCCGTCGTGTTTGGAGGAGAGAGAATGCTGAGTTGCATCCAAAGAACACCATACCTACTGTGAAGCATGGGGGTGGCAACATCATGCTTTGGGGCTGTTTCTCCGCAAAGGGACCAGGACGACTGATCCATGTACAGTACAGAATGAATGGGGCCATGTATCGTGAGATTTTGATTGCAAACCTCCTTCCATCAGCAAGGGCATTGAAAATGAAACATGGCTGGGTCTTCCAACATGACAATGATCCCAAACATACCGCCCAGGCAACGAAGGAGTGGCTTCGTGAGAAGCATTTCAAGGTCCTGGAGTGGCCTAGCCAGTCTCCAGATCTCAACCCCATAGAAAACCTTTGGAGGGAGTTGAAAGTCCGTGTTGCCCAGCGACAGCCCCAAAACATCACTGCTCTAGAGGAGATCTGCATGGAGGAATGGGCCAACATACCAGCAACAGTGTGTGCCAACCTTGTGAAGTCTTACAGGAAACGTTTGACCTCTGTCATTGCCAACAAAGGATATATAACAAAGTATTGAGATGAACTTTTGATATTGACCAAATACTTATTTTCCACCATAATTTGCAAATAAATTCTTTCCAAATCAGCCAATGTGATTGTCTGTCTGGATTTTCTTTCTCATTTTGTCTCTCATAGTTGAGGTCTACCTATGATGCCAATTACAGGCCTCTCTCATCTTTTTAAGTGGGAGAACTTGCACAATTGGTGGCTGACTAAATACTTTTTTGCCCCACTGTACCTTTTTATTGCAGTACTTGCATTTGTGACAGATTATTCCACAAGTGTAGTTAGGTTTGAAAATGAATTGGTGAGTTGCAATATATACCCTCTTCTGCAGAACAATGTGCATTTCTGGTGCCTGATACTGTGCAAATTCTTCATGTTCTTTAATGCACGGAGGCTTGCAGTGGCCTGCTAGAGAGCCTGAGGATCCTCTGATGGGTCATGACTAGGTGGCTGAAAAACAGAAATAAAAGTACCAAGTAGGGGCTATAATTTTTACATCTCAGTGTGTTGCCTGTCTATCTGCACCAAACATCCCACCACCTATGCTCTCACCCAATTAATTCCTGTGAAATCAAACTGTGCAATGCAACTTGAGCATGTCACTAACATGACTGTGGGCTGCCTCTTGACAGCAACCTGCCCTCTCTCTTTCTTTCTGTTTTATTCTGTTGTGCCTGCATCTTACACATACATACATGTACTTTTCATCTTTCCAAGCAGTAATGCATGGGCTTTGTCTATTAGTATTAAAAGGCATACCAGTACCTTTTCTCAGCAGCAGTTAGAGCAGTCTTGTGACTTCTATCAGTGTCTAGCTGAGCACTGGTTAAAGCTTATAGGAGGAGTTTTTGTTCTCTCACTGCCCTATGAGATTGCATGATGCCTAACCCTTTGCACCCTCCCAAGAAAAAAAAAAAACTCTAGCAGTACACACCAAACTGAGCATGTGCAAAGTGCCCTCAAGACTGTATTCTATCAGGAGATGAAATGGGGACCGTGGAAGAAGGGAAGGATCAGAGAAGACAGGATCAAACATCCTTTGTACACAATGCAGAGGATTAACCCCTTAAGTTCCACAGGGAGTATAACAAGCATGCTTTACTGTATATACAGACTGATTTTACTGTTGTGTGTTTAGTAATACTTTAGGCAAAACAATTCTGTGCTACTACCCAAAAAGAAAGCCATTGGAAAAAGTAATATGTTAGTGACATCTATTGATGGCTGCCTAGTGTGTGTTTTCATAAAGAATAATTTAGTAGTTGTACTAGGCTAAGGATCTGGTGTCACAAATTCCTTAGATGCAGAAGGCATATCAGAACATGTGCAAAACGTTTCTGCAGATGTAAATATCATGTCTGAAGGTGAAGTAACAATTTCTGAATTTACAGGAAGCAAAGGCATATCCAATTACAAAATGAAAGATTCTGCATACATATTTTGGAATGAACTTACAGACTCTGTAGGTATGGAAGGCATGAAGAGCAGAACATTACAGATTTGTCAAATGCAGTGTTTAACCACTTGCCTACTTGCACTTTTTTACCCCTTTCCTGCCTAGGCCAATTTGCAGCTTTCAGCGCTGTCGCACTTTGAATGACAATTGTGTGGTCATCCAACACTGTACCCAAACAAAATAAAAACCAGAGCTTTCTTTTAGTGGTAGTTAATCACCACTGGGTTTATGTTTTTGCTAAACAAACTAAGAAAGACTGAACATTTTGAAAAAAAAAAAAAAGTTTTTTCTTAGTTATAAAATTTTATAAATAAGTACATTTTCTCCTTCACTGATGTATGCTAATGAGGCTGCAGTGATGGGCACTAATAGACAGCTCTGATAGGCGGCACTGATAGGTACTGACAGGCATCATTGATGGACACTGAAAGGAAGCACTGATGGGCACTAATATGTGGCACTGATGGGCATTCACAGGCATCACTGATGGGCACTGAAAGGCAACACTTATATATATGGCACTGATAGGTGTCACTGATTGGAACTGTTAGGCGGCACTGATAGTTGGCACTGAAAGAAAAGCTGTGATCGGCACTGATGTGTGGCATTAATGGGCACTGATATGATAGGTGGCAATTAGGGGCAATGAAAGGCAGCACTGATGCGGCTGTACTGATACACAGAGCACTAATGATCAGTGCCCTGATTATCAGTGTAGATATCCCCTTTGAGGAATACCGCTTACCTGCTCTCCTCTCCTCACTCGCTGTTCCTATTTACATGTGATCTGCTGTGATTGGACACAGCTGATCACATGATAGAGCCTGTGTCATCGGCTCTTTACTGCTATCAGTGACCCGCTGTGTCCCAGGGACACAGTGCATCAATGATCGCCGCGCACCCCCGGGGGCTTTTATGCACAGCTGAGGTGGGAGGAAGTCATATGATGTCCTCCCAGAACGAGAGCCACCACCTGCCCATCATTTCCTTATATGGCGGGTGGGAGGCAGTTAAAAAAGGCATAAGATGTTGGTTTCTAAAGTTATTGCAGACATACCTAAATATAAAGTACAGTGGGGGAAATAATTATTTGCTCCTCTGCAGATTTTGAAAGCTTGTCCACTTACAAAGAAATAAAGGGTCTATAATTTTTATCATGGGTATATTTTAAATGGTAGAGTCAGAATATCAACCAAAAATCCAGAAAAAACACGATACAAATGTTATAAACTGATTGCAGTTCAGTGAGTAAAATATGTAGTTGATTTCCAAGCAAAACATGACTTAGTACTTGGTTGAAAAACCCTTGTTGGTCAGACGTTTCTTGTAGTTGGCTTCCAGGTTTGTAGACCTCTCAGGAGGGATTTTGGTCCACTCTTCTTTGCAGTTCTTGTCTAAATTCTTAAGGTTTCTTGGCTGTAACTTGACAACTCGGAAGTTTCAGCTCCCTGCATAAATTTTCTATAGGATTAAGGTCTGGAGACTGACCAGGCCACTCTTTGACCTTAATGTGCTCCTTCTTGAGCCACTCGTTTTGTTGCCTTGATGGTATGTTTTGGGTCATTGTCATGCAGAAAGACCCATTCACGACACCCATCTTCACTTTTAAGGCTGAGAGAAGAAGGTTCTTAACCAAGATTTTGCAATACATGGCCCCGTCCATTGGCCCCTCAATGCGGGCAAAGTTGGCTTTTACCTTTAGCAGAGAAACAGCCCCAAAGCATGTTTCCACCTCCGTGCTTGACTGTAAGTATGGTGTTCTTAGGGTCATAGTTAGCATTTATCTTCCTCCAAACAAGGTGAGTCGAGTTAAAGAGCTCAATTTTTGGTCTCATCTGACCACAGCACTTTTTCTCCCACTCATTAGATGTTCATTGGCAAACTTCAGACGAGCCTTTACATGCACCTTCTTGAGGTGGACCTTGTGGGTGCTGCAGGATTTCAATCCATGGCGGCGTATTGTGATACCAATGATTTATTTGGTGACTTTGGTCCCAACTGCCTTGAGATTATTCACAAGCTCCTACTGTGTACTTCTGGGCTGATCCCTCACTTTTCTCATCATCATCTTTACTCCATGAGGCGAAATCTTGCATGGAGCTCCAGACCGAGGGAGATTGATGGTTTTGTATTTCTTCCGTTTACGATGGAAGAAATACAATTGCTCCAATAATTGCTCCAACAGTTGTCTCCCTCTCCCCAAGCTTCTTGTTGATGGTCTTGTAGCCCATTCCAGCCTTGTGTAGGTCTACAATCTTGTCCCTGATCTCCTTTGACAGCTCTTTGCCTGTGATGGTGAGGTTTAAATGGAAGAAAGAGATTCTGTGGACAGGTGTGATTTTATACAGCTGTCGTTAGGAGTACCTTCTTAAATTTCCAGGACTGATCTGTGTACCACATGAGCACATAGCAAGTCTGTGGGAGCCAGAATTATTGTTGGTTGGTAGGGGATCAAATACTTATTTTACTCACTGAACTGCAACTCCATTTATAACATTTATATAATATTTTTTCTGGATTTTTGGTTGATATACTGTCTCTATCATTTAAAATACACCTATGATAAAAAATTATAGAACCTTCATTTTCTTTGTAAGTGGGCAAACATACAAAATCTGCAGGGGATCAAATAATTAATTTCCCCACTGTAGGTGACTTACAATCAGGATGTGCCACACTGTCATGTCTCCTTTTGTCACGCCCTTTAGTTTATTTTTTAACTATGCCTGTTCAGTCACATATAACTTGACATCGTAGAATGTGAGTAAAGCTAGCCAAACACGGCTAGTTTTTTTGCATTCAGCCATTGTTCTGAATGAAAAAAAAAAAGACACATTCTTCCATTCACACAAATAAGGTGGATTATAGGAATCCAGGGTATTGTATTCTGACAGCTGCACCCATTAAAGTCAGAATACATTGATTAGCGACTGCAGCTGATTGGCTGCAGCTGCGGATCAAGAGACATTGTCCAGCATGTCCCTTCAACAGAAATCAAATGATCAACTTCTGTCGAGCAGGGACTGCTATACTCTAATTGGAATTTGGCTGTTCCCTGCTGAACCGTCCAAATGTCACCAAGTGTATGGCCAGCTTTAAAGTCGTTGTAAACGTCAGACATGAAAAATGAACAAAGCATATCCCTCTATAGTGTGTACTAGCCTGAATCCAAAACACCAAGTGTGGTTCCTCTCTGATCTTTGATCCCTCTGAAACCTGCATGACTGATAAAACTCTAAGCTGACACAACAGTTTCCCGGGAGATGGACGTTCCCCCTCCAGAACAGAGCAGGTGACTCATATCCTCAGCTCTGTGTGTTTCCTATAAGCCTGTATACAGGGGGTGTATCCTTTCTCTCTTCTAAGCTATCCGAGTACAGGGAGCTCTGTGCTCTAGCTCTGTAGTGTATATGTGGCGTCAAATCCCTATCCCCTTCTTTTGCTGTGAATAATCCTTTGATTTGTGTGATTTACAAGGCTTTATAGTTGAAGTGGCTGCAGATAAACCGGTACTTAGAGATGAAACAAATCTTCATCTATGTGTATTACCTGAGGCTAGTCACTTTCACTGGGTATATGTAGTGGGTTATAGTTTATATAGTAGTTTTTCTGGGGGGTTTTTGCTGGGGGCAGGAGCTGATTCCGTTTAGAACAAGGATTGTTTAAGGCCTGCAGTCTTACATATTTTCTTTTGATGCGTCTCTTTGCTTTTCTGTGGATGATCTTCTTTTAGAAAACATGTGAGTGAGACTATTGATAAAACATAACATACTATTGATTGAAATGTCTCTGAAAACTGTATATGTACAAGTGCATTAATAAGTTGATATTTCAGACCAGGCCCCAACACTGTTATATGGTGAAAGACTTTTCTCTGTGTTCGGCTTCCTGCCTGTTGAACTGCTTATGGCATTTGGGTGTAGGGGATCAGCCTTTTAAGAAATAAAAAGGAAATGCATTTGGTAACATAATAATGCTTTAAGGTGTGAAAATTATTTTATTAAAGCTAAATTAAACTCTTCATTTTTGACAGGTAGGGTTTTTTATGAGAGAAGAGACCCTATTGGTCTCTTCTGTCATAAATACTTTCCCTGCCGGTCACTGTAACATACACTAAGCTGCAAATGCATAGCTCAGTGTACATTTACAGTACTGCTTTGTGCTGTGATGATGTGACTCCCATGCGCTGGAGTGACGCCATTACAGCCTGGCCATTCAAGCAGCTGAAAACACAGTACCTGGAAGGAAGACCAGGAGAGGATGGAAGCACCCGGAGATACGGAGCACTGACAGCAGAGTCCGGGAGGGCATTGTTCAACAGGTAAATCTGTCATATGTGCACATATGTGGTGCATACTAGCACATTAAAGCATATACCACCTGGCTGCACATTTAGGCTTAAACTTTCATCTTAATGGAGGAAAATTTGGTATGCTTGCCCAAAGTAAAGGCTCCACATTGTCAACTTCTGGAGGACATCTCGGTTACATCTTGCTAGGTAGATGTTGACCAGTGGATGGCATCATGAATTGGGCACTGCTGCTAAAGGAAATCACTGTCTTGCATCTGACTTGGTATATTTTTTTTTTTGGCATGGCATTGGGTATGGGGTAGTGCTGCTGGAGCAGTTCACTGTGTTAAAACTTGACTGTTGACTTAGGGATGACTTCAGAAATGAGGCGGTGCTGCTGTGCTGGCCTGGATGAGGTCTGTATTGAGGTTGTGAT